CTCTCTCTCTCTCTCTCTCCCTCACTGCTGTGCTGTAAGTCTCTCTCACACTCACAGTCTGTCTGTCTCTGTCTGTTCTGGCAGATGTTAAGAAGGAAATTCCACTCCACTTTTGTGAAAATGAATTTGTACGCACATACACAGTAGATCTAGATGATTACTGGGTGGTGCTCTGGTATGGTTTGCTCCTTCTTTCCTATCAATCTTCTGTCATTTTTATCTCTTCTCCTTGTTTCCTATCAATCTTCTGTCATTTTTTCTCTTCTCCTTCTTTTCTTTGTATGTTACTGTCTAGTAATGCCTCTAATCTTCAGCTTTTATATGACCTATTTGTATTGCAAGTGCTGTAATTTTTAAAAAATTAATTAAAAGCAGTTACACCGATTCTGACATGGACAATATATGTGTTTGTATATGTGTATTTTAAAAATAATATATTGACTATCTAAATCGCTGATGAATCCTGACCTTCTGTATTTTAAAAATAATTTTGTTTTCCTTTCAGGAGAAGTTCAACTTTTTCAACTGTGAGGGTCTGACATACGAGGCTCAGGCTGTTCGGGAGTGTCTACTCAAAGGTGAGGTCTAACATTTGTCAAGAGGAGACATTTTTTTCTAATTTTTGTTTTTTGGCTCAACACTTTGTACATCCTTTCAGAAACACTTTTACGTGTGGATTTTAGATAAAATCGTAAATTAAAGGCACCAGAAATGTAAATTTGCAGTTTCCAAGGATTCTTGAGCTATTGAAGTCACCAAACTTTGGCGGCAATTTTCTCGCTAATTCTATCACTGAAAATATGCAACCCCACCTCCTTCAATCACAAATATCTCGACTTCTATTCAAGATGCATGGGTATTTTTTCATTGAAAGCAAGGCAAATGAAGAAGCTTTGAAATAATACCAATAACTCCACATGCCCAAAAATTGACAAGCGCCCGATTCCACCACGCACGCCATGACACATTTTATGATGAGCTGTGTGCCAGTTTTGTTACTCTCTTGTAACACCTCTAATCTTCGGCACTTATATGACTTTATTGTGTTGCAAGTGCCGTAAAACTCTTAGTAAAACGATACAACTAAAACAGGTTTTGATGAGTAGTTATTTTCTTTTGCACAGGTCTGAAGGAGAGCCCCGTAGTGCCGCACGAGGATAGCGAGACCAACATGTACATCCTGCAGCAAGTCCTGGACCAACACGGGATCAAGTACCTCGCTCCGTAGTTCCTGCACACTGTGTCACTTCCTGGTCGAACAAAGATCGAAACGTAGATAAATACAGGATTCATCAATGTGGTGAAATCAGGCGCTCGTCAAAATCATTAAATCGAAGAAATCCTGCGCATTTTTTTACCAGTTTGGAAATTTCTTTTGAATTTTTGTTTTTTGGCCCAACACCACTTGTTTGTCCGTTCAGAATCACTTTTACGCATGGATTTTATGAAAAATCGTTAATTAAAGGCACAAAAAATGTAAATTTGCAGTTTCCAAGGATTCTTGAGCTATGGAAGTCACCAAACTTTGGCGGCCATTTTCTCACTAATTTTACTTTTGAAACCAGGTGACCCCACCTCCTTCAATCGCAAATATCGCGACTTCTATTCAAGATAAATGGATATTTTTTTTCATCAAAAGCAAGGCATATGAACAATTTTTAAAACGATACCAATAACTCATTATGCCCCCAAAACTGACAAGCGCCTGATTCCACTGCGTCTTGACACATATTATGTTTTGAAGGTTCACAAGTGCCTTAAGAATGGGTTGCTCAGAAAGGATTGTCAATGAAGTTCTTGCGTTTTCCATTTTATAAGATTCTAGTTAGTCTCAAATCACATACACATGTTCACGTTTTTCCATTAAAATAAAAGATATTGAAATAAAAGTTTATGTTATATTATATTCTGTTTTTTTGTACAGAAGCTTGCACGTTCTACCAAGCTTGGTTCTGATACAGTGAAAATGATTATTAAAGTTTCCAGTTGAATTTTGTAATTGTGGTTTAATTGCTCCTTCTTTCCTATCAAACGTCTATCGTCCTAATCTCCCCTCCTCCTTTTTTGTGTTTGTTACTCTCTTCTTACACATTATCTATTCTTCGGCACTTATATAACCTTATTGTGTTGCAAGTGCCATAAAACTCTTACTTAAACGAAAAAAAAAGAATTTCCTTGGTCAGTTTCAGAATGAAAAGCAGATGAAGAGTTGTGATGTATAATGTGTCCGATATATTATATATATAACAAAAATGAAATGTATCCATCTCTGACAGGTTATGGAGCTTTTATTTGAAGTGGATGGGAGTTATGGGATGAAATAAACAGTTGTCTGAAAAACATCAATCAAGTTGTCAGTCAGTTCTTGTCATGATGTCGTCTTTGTGCATGGAGAGGTTCTCCCCGCTGTAGAAGTGGTCGTTAGAATACCAGATGGTTTACAGTAACAGTACACACTGTTGAACACACTGTTGAACACACTGTTGAACACACAGAGGTCTAGCAGGAGGGTTTACAGTAACAGTACACACTGTTGAACACACTGTTGAACACACTGTTGAACACACAGAGGTCTAGTAGGAGGGTTTACAGTAACAGTACACACTGTTGAAGTCACTGTTGATTATGAACACACTGTTGAACACACAGAGATCCAGTAGGAAGGTTTATAGTAACTGAACACACTGATGGACACACTGTTGAACTCATTGTTGACACTTTGTTGAACACACTGTTGAACATGCAGACACCCAGTAGGAGGGTTTGCAATAAGAGCAAATAATAATAATAATAATAATAATAATAATAAATAACATTTGTATAGCGCACAACTCCCGCTCAAAACCAAGCTACGTGCGCTTTACACCATGTTATTATTACCCCAGCAGACCATAGAACACTCAGAAATATTCTCAGCTTCCTGGGAAGCATACAGTGCAAGCAGCTGATTAAGCGCTCAAACACTAAAAAACTAGTACGCACTGTTGAACACACAGAGGTGTAGTAGGAAGGTTTACAGTAACAGTACACACTGTTGAACACACTGTTAAACGCACAGAGTAGGTGGTTGGTTGGCGGGTGCTCTGGTGTGGTTTGCTCCTTCTTTCCTATCAAACATCTGTCGTCCTTGTCTCTCCTCCTTTTTTGTGTATGTTACTCTCTTGTAACACCTCTAATCTTCAGCACTTATATGACCTTATTGTGTTTGCAAGTGCCGTAAAACTCTTACTAAAAACTAAAACTGACACAAATTAGATCATCTAGGAGGCGGGCTGCTTCCACTTAGCTGTAATTAAGGGCCAGTCTGTGTGGGCTGAGAGTGAGAGGGACACCACGTCCAAGACAGTTGAAAGGGGGAGACATTTCAGTTCTTTCTTGTCCTATTCCTATCTCCCTTTTTAAAATAACAGTGAAAACAGTTTATAACAAAGAGTGAGCTTAATAAGAAGTCACATTTTCACTGATAAAAAGAATAAGGATACAAGAAAGCACTGAGCTCGCGAGGTAGAGACACTTCAGAATTAAAACCTCCCCCAATGGGAATTGAACTTCTGTCTTCTGCATACAACGGCAAAGAAGTGCCTAGCCACTCTACATGTGTGCCGGTGAGCATTATGAGAGCTATATTTTTATAAGAGGAGCTGATTCCTATGTCTTTTGTTCTTTTTTAAAAAAGTATGAATGGCAAAAAATCTGGTTCCGAAAGGTGCATGTTGGTATTGTTGTTAGGAGGGTGCTCATGGTAACTCCTTTCCTACACTTATCATTCTGCCGTCTCTGTATGGCTACTTTGCCTTTCGAAAACGCAACGTGCGCAAGTCTAGACCTGCTGCCTCCACCACAAGTCCACCAAAAGCCGACTACCCGTGCCCACAATGTGGGCGAACCATCCGAGGCCGGATAGATAGGACTAATCAGCCATCCCCGGACCCACAGTCACTGTCAACAGACCAATTTGTGAAGTCATGGTTGTCTTCATTAGGGAAGGATGAACCGAAAAAAACCAACACCCCCCCAACCCCCCCCCCAACAAACAAAACAAAACAAAAAACCTCTGCCTTTATCCAGCACTAAGATGTGTTTTTCTTTAGAGTATGTATCTATATATAACTTCAAAGGTCTTGTAATTAAATTCCTGCATGTGGTTGAATGATACATCTGATGTGAATGTACATTTTGTCAGCTTTACTTCTCTTTTCAAATTGAATTTTAATGAGAGTAATATATAATTTAATTTTTTAAATGTGTACCTGCACGTGTTTTTACGGTCCTGTACAGCCAAGAAAAATTTCCTTCTGGGAAAATTAAGTATTGTCTTATCTTATCTTATCTTATCTTAAGCAAACCATTAGTGCCCGTGTGATTGGCGAGACAATCATTGATGCCAATGCCATGTCGATGTACTTCTCTTTAATTCAAACCAACAAATAAAAAAGCCAAACAAACAAAGAGTTTAGTTTTAGAAAGGTTTTACGGCGCTCACAACTGCATAAGGTCATGTGAATGTCAACAAACAAACAAACAAATAAACAAAAAAAACCCCAACAAACCAAAGACAAACAAACAAACCAAAGACGAACTAGTGGACATTGACTGTCCAGTCTGTGGTGCTACCTCGTTCGATCTTTTGATCAAATGTAGATGTTTTACGGCCTCATCAACACAAACGGTCGCTTTTAAGGACAAGCGGGCTAACCCAGATTTCGGGGGTTTCCAGAAATCTTGACCTACACCAAAAGTGGGCATTGCCCTACCTATAGGAGAAGTTTGTGGTTTCATTGGTGTGTATATGTGCTTGGTTACAAAGAAAACTCTTCTGGTCTTTTAAAGAAACAGAACAAGGGGCAAAAAATTTACCTTCGATGTTCTCAAAACAATATTTGTGAAAGGTGTTTCTCGGACTTAAGCCTTATTGAAACAGATACGTCACGCTTATTGGTGAAGTTTTTTTTACAGTTTGGAAGTATGAAATAATAAGAAGCAGGTTAAACTTCAAGAATATGGCATTAGCAGAAAATCGACAAATTTGACCCTAGTGTCAATTTTTGGCCAATATCTCCATTTGTGGATTGTGAAAAGTAACCCATTTTGTCAGCACGTCTCACATTTATTTTTTTCGGGATGGTCCCCTTGTGCTTAAAAGCGACCAATTGTGATCTGCTTGAAATTTGGGACCGGCAGAACCCAGTGGTAGACAAACGAGCAGTGAGCAATCATCTTTTATGGCCATGCAGTATGTACGAATGAGCAAAATGTGACGGGAACAGTGGGTGGGGTAAAGTAACGTAAAACCAAGAAGGAATGTCAACAGAATTTTCATTCCTGCTGAAATAACTGTAAGGTTAGGGGTTTAGGCTTTTTCCACAGCTTACACACATCGCCTGAATGCACGAGAATGGAAAAAAAAAAATGTACATCCAGCTACTGAAGAACTTTCAATGTGTAATTTACCCCCCCCCCCCTTCCCTCCCTTTCAAAT